AAGTACAATTTATGACATTATGTTCTGAATAAACCATCATTTAAACAACCATCTTGACTTAGTACACATAAGTAAATTAGATGAACCCAGCTTCCGATGATTGCATACAATAACTCAAACATGTCATGAAAGCACATTCAGTGTTTATTCCTAATGATTCAAGAGTTCGAGCTTACTTTACATTGACCAGTGACTTCAAATAACTCCACAAAAAGTAATCTAAAGAAGTTAAATCACTACTTCTGGAAGGGCAACTAGCAGCATCATTTCATGAAAATACACTATCAAACTATTTTTGCAATACATCGATACTGAAAGGAAAAATTTACAGTTGTCTATCAGTACTGCTCACCTGTCACTGTAACTGCATCAATTCTCTCCTTTTGTGAGGGGGGGGGAAGGTCTAATGATGCAACTATGCCAATAAACCACACTATACAAAGACCTTTTACAAATGCATCTGTTATGGCTTGTTTTCACATACACAAATAATAATAATAACAATTGTTTGTTAAGATATCTAAGTACAAATGAGCTTCATCAGAGCAGATAATTTTTTACCCAAAATTAATGTTCTTGAAATGTATACAGTACAAAGTCCGTAATTCGGACTCATCGGGACTTAATTTAAATCTGGTAAGATTAAAGAAGGTCTTTTCTTTGGTAAGATGGCATGCAGAAATTATACAATTAAAAACATGAAACTGTTATTTATGAAATAAAGAGCAATTATGATCTAAAGGGTATCAAAATTTGAAAAAAAAAAAAAAAAAAAGAGCTTAATATTTATTTGTTTACTTTATTAAACATTTTTTCAATATAAGTTGTTTAAGTTGCTTCGGTTTTTGCGCTAAACGAGCATGCGTAAACAGATTAAAAAAAAAAAAAGTTTCCGGCTTTTGAGGTCCAGATTATAGATCATTCCGGATAATGGAAGTCTGATTTACAGACTTTGTATTGTACTTAGCCATCATGAAGCATCAGCCACAAACTCTTAAATGACTAAATGAAATAAAAATTAGTGACAGTTTAAACATGATTGCCATTTTGTTTTAAAATCATATTACTTTTATTGTTTTGTTTTAAAAATCACTCTTATATACACTGCATAACTATCACCAATTATAACAGACACACTCAGCCAAATAATTTCACTTTCATTTACTGATATGCTTGAAAAGAAATAGGCAAAAAAGTATTACTAACAATGTCCTTGGACCAGTTAATGATGCTGTTGTTTGAAAGAAATTCTGAAGGCATGCGTGTGTGAGAATGTTCATTTGGAGAGAAGTTAAGATTCTTTTTCTCAGAACTATTGCATGAGAAAATAAATACTCATCATTATTTTTTTTTCTTAAATCATCTTAGAACGTAAGTAGGGTCTTTTATTCAAGTGAATACAGCCCTACATGTGAATCTATAGCTCTACATGTATATTAATAACACTACCTGCATCATGCAACTTTATGACAGAGTATGAGATCTATGTTGATGACAGATTGTCCCAAACCTCATATATAGATTATACTTGCCAATCTATTATTGCAAATATTGCAGGCACTTCAACCACTTTGCAAGCATTGTTCTGGAAGTTGTGGGTGGTTGCAAAGTGCTGCATCTACTTTTTTCCTTAAATGATTGACCATTTCTGAAAGATTCATGGTGAATGTTATTAGAAAATCTGTTGCTAAAAAGGGATTTTAGCAATTATATTAAATTTGGTATGTATTTCTTGAATCACCTATTAAGTAGGGAAATTTTATTTTTCACACCTCGATGCCCAAAATAACTATAGTAATTACACTCAACCATTGATAACAGAAAAATATACAAAGGTTAATTATATTCAAACAAATCCACTTTAGTTTAATACAAAAGCAATATTTAAGTATTAATGCATATATGTAGCATCCCAACTTATGCCACCTACACCAATGAATATTAGATACCACCATATACCTTGAAATTTTCAGTTAATTATTTTACCACCAGCCATCTATATTTTGCGCTGCATTTGATTGCATTATTAACTGTCACATTCTTAAAAAAATAAGTTCTGAGATTTCTACCAGGCTCTGCAATATTCTTGAAGGCACTAGGCATACATGCAAAGCTACTAGATATTCTATACATACATATATGTGTATGTGTGAAAAATATGAAAGTAAACTTCTAATTTTAATTTTGCAACAGCCCCTTTATTCATCATTTTAATTTGTTCACTTCCCTTTCCTATCCGAAAAACAGAACATATTACAAGTTTAAACTGCATCATTTCAAATTAATCCACATTATATTTTCATGTGTATGCAGACATCTCTTACCCGATTATAGATCAAGATTTCTATTAAGAACCAGAAACCTTTGATGCTTCTGAATGCATAATAAGTCTTCTGTTTCGTATCATGATGCTGTCGCGTATCTCTCTCTATTTCATTCATCATATGTCTTCATCATATGTATAAATTTCAAAGAATATTATGATATAATGTTAAAATGCAAGTTATAATGATAAAAACTAGTTATGTTATAAAATTCTGAAATCTGTAACGATTATTTAAAATAATAGATGTATAAAATTTTTATGGTTGTGATATTCTACACAAAAGTTTCAAAAGTATTCCCTTATGGATTGGATTATTCACTTATGGCAAAGCACACGAGGGCTATCTGCCTAAAGAAGGGGGTGCCTTCATGGAAGACTTTCTAAAGTACAGCCAAAAGTCTTTAATCCGGACTCGTCGGGACTTCTGCGATTCTGGATTATCGGTTTTTCCGCATTATAGATCATCAGTTTAAATCTGGTAAGATGGCATGCAGAAATTATAAAATAAAAAATATGAAACTGTTATTTATGAAATAAAGAGCAATTAGGATCTAAAGGGTATCAAAATTTACAAAAAAAGAGCTTAATATTTATCTGTTTACTTTATTAAACATTTCTTTAAATGCACGCATGCGTAAAGCATACATTACACATAGTCGAAATTAGAAAATTGCAACCAGAAAGCTCTTTGATATGGATTCGTGATATTTATAATGACAGAGGAATTTGATTTAAATCATATCAAAGATGGAGCACATTGAGATGAAATACTACATTTAGTACGGAATTATAAGCCAAATAAAATAAAAACATCTACCCTGAAGATAAGGATAGTGCTGACAGATCAACTTCCAGTTCATTGCGTGCCGCGATGCCCCCCCCCCAGCAGAGCAGCGTGAAATTGATAAACAGATTTCGGAATGGTTATAGAAACAAAGGATATGCCTTTATCCATTTTTCGCAGGAATTCCACTTTTTGTTTGATGGCTTTCGCTTTGTAGATCCTTTGGCAGCTCCAGAATCCGAAATTCTTTTTGACACAATCGAAAGTTCAAGCTTACTTTTATAAAATTGTTCTAACAGTCTGCAAAAAATAATAAGTCGGATCCAATTAGAAGATTAAGGAACAATGCAATCTGCAACATTAACTGAAATAGATAATTAGATAATTTTAGCTTAGCTTATACCGCCTGTTATACATTAAACGCGCATGCGTAAATGTATTATGCACATGCGTAAACAAATTATGCATTTACGCATGCGCAGAAAGTTTGTAGCTTTGAGGTCTGGATTAGACTTTTGACTGTATTCCCTTATGAACTATAATCATTATGTGGACAAAATCTCAAAGATTTCTTAAAATTTAACTGAAATACTGATATTTAATGAGACTCTCAAAATTACATTTGAAAAAAAAAAAAAAAAAAAAAAGGCATTTTCTAGACTGAAATCAAATCTTAGTATGACTCAAACACTGCATCTAGTCTCACACATATAATGGTAAAAATATATGTTCTAGGTTACTTTAAAAATTATTTATTTCAAAATTTTATGATTTGTACTTTTCATATTATATTTCTCCTCTTTTCGTGCTATAATGCTTCTTTTCTCATATATAAGATATAAAATACGAAAGCAAACTTTTAATTTTAATTTTGCAACAGCCCCTTTATTCTTCATTTTAATTTGGGTACTTACCCTTTCTATCCTATAAACAACAACCATTTATGAAATACCAATCTAAACTGTGTCATTCAAACAGATCCAAATCACAAATTCTTACAAAACAATGCAATACAGATACTTTTATCCAATCACTGAATGGGATTTCAATTCCAAACTGAAACCTCTCTCTAAAACTAAGCCTCCACATATTGGATACTTGTAACTTTTCGCTCTCCCACTTCACTGCAGACATGCTCCTGCTTTCAAATATATTTCTCAAGTTAATCCAATGTAAAATGCAATTTACGAACAAGGCATAAAATGCCCATTTGAGTTGTGCTGGATTAAATAAAAGTGTGTGCCAACCACAAATAAAATGGAAATATTTGAATTATTTTATATTAAAGAACTTTAAATGGCAAATGACTGAATACACTTATTAGAAATTACAGCTTTAAAAAAATTAATAAAATTATATGTATACATAGCTGTATAATATATAAAATTATCAAGTTAAAAACATAATTAAAGAGTATATTTTTTATAAATATAAATTTTTAAGGGATTTATATTATTAATATAAAAATAGATCCTCTTTGCTTAATATATGGCAGAAGATTTCTGCTAATGACATTTTCATTTTTCTTTCAAATACATCAATTTAACTATTGCAAGAACCTTTAATCATGCTACAATCAAAACCCTAATTTTGATAATAGAAAATTAACATGTTAGTTATTAATTTCAAAAGAAATTCATGCAAATTAGAATGTTACATAAATAATGGGGAGCAAACACATATAATAATTGTATTATGGTGCAAAGAAAGAAAGTATGCAGCTCATGAGTATGTCAAAAGCAGCAGACAAACACATGCATGGGTTCCTAGAAAGTTTCTCCCTTGCACCTGAGTTTGCATACTTAAATATTAGACTGTTAATACTTCCATGCACAGTAAGTGATGAGGGTGCAAAGCAGCTGTCTACACTGCCAAAACTTTGATTCTTACTTCCAAGTCCAAATCCAGAAAATCCCAAGTTGTTTATGTTAAAAATTGACTCAGAATTAACACGCTGATCCAGTTCTTTTTTTAGAGCATATTTTTGTTCTCGTTCAGATTGTAAAGCTTCCAGAGCTTCTTCAAGTTGCTTCTCTGCAATTCGCTTCAAAGAAAATAATTCTTCAATTTGCCCCTGTGCAGCTTCAAGTTCTTCCTGCAGACGCCTGACTTCATGCTTAGCTCCTTCAAATTCAACCTAATGAACAAAAATAGGAAAACTAAAGGACAGATCAATAAATATTAACTATGCAATACTGAATGCTACATATATTTTTAATGAAGATAATATTCACATGCAAGCAGAAGGAGACATTAACTACTCATCAGATCCAGAATAGGAATTATAATGGCTGTTAAATGTTATAAATTTTCAACCACAAAGACCTATAACGAAAACTATTTTAGCAATAATTTTTATAGTTAAAAAATATTGCTGAAATACTTTCTTTATAGTTCTTTCTTACATAAATATATTTAAAGTGAACTATTTCAAATTTATTTGTTATGCACAAGTCTAAAATACTTGTACACTCTCTTAGAAAATACTTATAAGAAATTCAGAATTTTCTCTTTCCATATGCTTACTCTAATTAAAATATTTCTGACTGATTACAAAATATTGCATGTTAATTGTAAATGATACCTAAAATTTCAGACAACAACAGCAACAACCCCCCCCCCAAAAAAAAATTTCTTTTTTCTTTTTTTTGCTAGAAAAAATATAAAAGGTACAGTTAAAATTATAAATACATTTGTTTAAAATTTTAAGAAAAAATTAGCCTCTAAAAACTTAGCAGAAATACAAGAATATCTTGTTTTCAGACAAAATTTTATTTAGCATAGAAATAACTCAAAACTAATTTATGTTGCGAAAAACCATGCCGAAAGCATTTACACAAAAGAGAGCTGATTTTATAAGATAAAAACATAGCTTCTGGTTTATCTGAAACCAAGTCATAAATGATATAATATATGACAGATTTTGTTGGCTTACTAACAAATATATTCAATAATGCATTCAAAGCTTAGTTTATTTGTATTCCTAAATGGTAGAATTCGCATCTTAAATATTCCTTTATAATTTTTTTTTTAATGCCTAAAGCATTAATGATAGACACATAAACAAAAACTGTTAGCCAGCCTGCCAAAATTATTATAATACAACAACCAAAACTAAGATCATGGCATACATTACCTTGACAACTCAAATACAGTACTAAGTACAACTCAAATACAGTAAGTCTGAAATCTGGAAATATGACAACCAAAATGATTTACTGCGCTTTTTCCTTTTCTTTCTTTCTTTCTTTCTTTCTTTTTTTTTTTTTTTTTTTTTTTTGATAAATATTCTTTTTTTTAACACAATTTATGGTAGAGAGTACAAGACTTTAGAAAAAATAAGTACACTATAAAATCAATTTTTCTCTTATTTTAATGTAAAATATCACTAATTGTGATAGTATTGAATCCTCCTGCATGCCACCTTTAAATACCAACTGGCTAGCAAATAACACTTTTATTCCTTGAGAGTTTAGAGGGCAGCACCTTTCTATTTGAAATATGGCTTATATTATATGCAAAATCTGAAGAAATGCTTGTTTGGAGTGAAATGTTGCCATACTGGTTTATTTCTGGTGGCCTGATGGGAGGAAGGAAGAAAGAGTAACTCAGTAAAGCAACAGTATATGATATCAAACAAACAAAAAGAGAAATTCCCTTTCCGTAGATTATGACACCCTACTTTGCAGTAAATAACAGAAAAAGTTACTCATCATGCTAGCAGTGACAATCATGATGAAATGTTAACTGCATGGGTCCATTGCTTAAGCCAAACTAATTCATGAGCAAATCAGCTTAAAAACTTGAGTACACAATACAGTAGATAAAATATGGTAAATCATACGATAGGTAGATAAATCAAATTTAAAAACTGCCATAGTACAAGGCAGCTAAAAATTTGAAGCAAAAAATTTCAACTGATATTGAAGCAATTGAACAGGTTGCAGATGAATGCTTTAAACTAATTAACATCAAAAGATTAACACTAGGATATATTAACAATGCTGATGTAACTAGTCTTTTCTGATAATAAGTGCACTGAAATAAACTGGCAATTTCTGCTAAAAAGGTTCTACCTGATGTGAAAGATTCTTAAGTTTGACCACTAATTTTGGCATGTGTAAACACTGCAATAACGCACAAATGAATATTTGTTTATAATTAGAAAAAATTCACAACCATAAGCATTTAAAAGAATAACAAAAATTTTTAATTAACAATTCAAATAAAAGGCCATGCATGACACTATTAAATTGTCATATACTATTAATAAATAATTGGTTTGAAAATACTTTCATACCCAAAGTTTAACAACACTTGAAATTAAGTAATTCATCAGATGATACAAAATTGGTCTGATTACATACACAAAGATGCCAACTTTGAAGAAATATATCATTAGTATTTGACTGAACAGGAGTGAGCCATTTGGGACATTGAGATGAGAATTTTTTAACTACTTGCTAAAAATTCTCATCTCAACATACCAAAAGGCACACTCCTGTTTTAGGAGATTATAAGAATTCTGTTGTCATTCCTTTCTTTCCATCAATTAGCTATAAAACTGCACGTATTTTGCAGAAATTTAACTTTTGGGTCGTTTATTCTCCTATCAATAATATTCTGAGTTTCATACTCAAGGACCCCATTCCAGATATGAATTCCTAGGGTATTTACTGGATTCCTTGCTGATGTGGCTTAATTTACATTAGTCAATCTTTGAGAACCTTAAAATTTCACATTAAGGAAAATGAGGCACATGTTAGAAAAAAGGAAACACAGAAGCCCTCTGTTGTCTAGCATTGCTTTTTCTGCAGCCAAAACTGTTAAAAAAACATCTTTCATCAGTGAATTAGATTTTCTAGAGGCGTTTCACATTCAAAAAAATCTTTCTGTTCTAGTTAATGACCCTAATTCCAATGAATCTTTGCCTTTAGCCTTTAAGGAAATTATGTTTTAGTACTTCTTTCATCAACAGATGGCACCAGTAGCTTAACTTCTATCTACCCATTCTTATCTGATCTCGTTCATTTGTGCTTTGGTAGCTGAGGATGATGGTTCAGTAATAGCATCGAATTACTAAAGTCCTGTGAAAATTTGTAAATATAATGACGATTTTTGTTGTTGGACTTCTAAATTAATACTTGTTCAGCATGTTATTTTATCTTAATTATACAGACTGAATTTATTAAAATCTTAAATATTCTATATCAAATAAGTGGCAAACCACTCAAGGGTCCAAAGTGTGATATTGACTAACATTAATAAGAAGTCAACTGATGTATTGTTATTGGCTATTATGCGATTCCCTAGCCAGTAGACGTTTGAAAATGACATACAGGAACCTCAGTCAGTCAAAAAAAAAACAGCATTTACTAAACAACTGCTTCACTTTGTTCAGCATCATAATCTCCATTCCTATATTTTGTGAGGATTTTTTAAAAATTCGTCTATGTTTTATCTGGTGATCTGAAGGTCTGGATATTAAATGATTCCAGATATTGGACATCAAGTTTTTGGACTTTGCACTATATAGCTTTAAATCCAGGAAATACTGGAGTAGCCAGAAAATACTGGTCATAATAGTGGAGAAAGTCACAAAGCGGTTGCCAAGAAAGAAAAAGAGGAACTACTCTTATACGTGCCCTCAGGTCGCCAAATTTCTCGCCAAACACTTTTGGCGAGAAACTCCATGGTGCCATATTACTATCTAAATTTTTTTGTCTACATTTCGAAAAGGATATAAGAAAGAGGAATTAAGAAATACTGGATATGAACATTTCATTGCAAATCACAGTTTTAATTTTGTAGACTACGAAACTGAATGCCATACTCAAACTGTGGGGTAGTGCTAAGTGGAGAAATAAATGCAGTGGGCAGATATTTGATTTAAAGTGATATTTGATAGAACTTATGTGGCATTGGTTATATATTTAAAAACTGAAATTTTTTCCTTCAATACTGAATGATATCTGTAATTTTATGCCACCTGTTTAGATTGAATTTCATTTTGTTTCATTATTTTTTATTTATGTGCAGAATATTGTAGATTAAAAAATTAAAAAGAAAAAGTTGCTTTAGGAATTAAAAAAATTTTAAAAATTGACTTTTTACAGAATTATATATATATGTTAATAAATAAAGATGCATTTTTAACTGACTCTGCTCTAACGGGACAGTACTGAATTTTTAAATTGTATTTCAACTGATGGATTCTTTCAGGGAATCATATTTAAATACTAGAAGTATTAAAATCACATTTTACCTGAGATGAGCGAAGCGATGAGATCTGCTTCTGTAAAGATATATTTTCTTCTTCCAATTCATTATTATCACTTAAAAGTCGAGCCTCGCGCAGTTTCAGCTCTTTTAATTCTGCTTTATAATTTCTTTTTTCCCATTCACTCACATCACAGTTTTTTGCAAGATCAATGTTTTCCTGCAGAATTCTCTCTTTCTCTACTCCAACACGAGAAACTTCTTGCCTAGCCTAGAACAAAATTATAATATTTAAACTTGAGCAGCATAACTGAAAGAAGTAATGAAACAGTGAACTATGCGATTATGGAGAAGTACGCACAAAATCTGAAACAGAAAACAGTTCTTTCATGTTAAATGCAAATTATATCAAGTATCAGATTACATTAGGCTATTTATTACATAAACACATGTGAGGTTATTTCAGCAAGAAATATCCATGAACGGCTTTGAAATGGAAATTAGTTTATACTTGTATTGTAAAATGATAATCAGATAAATGCCCTAAGATGACAGCGTGCTCAACTGCTAGGAATAAAATTCAGTATGAAATTCAGCAATCTTGTACACTCAGCCACTAGTAATTTCAAATTAGTACCAAATTAAATGGGAGGCAAAAGAGGTTTTTACTAGTTTAGGAAACAAAATAAAATAACATACAAACAACATGAAAAACAAATAACATATAGTGGATATTATATTCAGGTATACACATTTTATCTTATACTGACTATTATCAAGATTTAAATTATACAAATAAAGTGGATTAGATACATACTTACCTTTGAATCACTAAGAGACTACAAACAAAAATTGAACTTTGAGGTCAATCTCATGAAAAATTTCTTTGTTAAATATATCTTGATACTGTCTAGGATGAATTAGACACAACATTTTACATATATAAACATTTCTTCTTAAATTCAGTCCTCTGATTATGCAAAGAATTTCAATTAAAACATGAAACAAATGTACATTTTAACGATAAAAATATAGGTACTTTAAAGTATAGCTGTATGAACAATTAGATATACTCACATATTATTAATTTATTTGTTTATATTCCTAAATAAAAAAAAAATTTCTTTTGAAATGCCTTTTACAAATATTTTCTTTTAATTAAAAGTATCATAAATGAAAAAAATATCAGAGCAAAATAAAAATACAGTCAAAAGTCTATAATCCGGACCTCAAAGCTACAAACTTTCTGCGCATGCCTTTCAGCATACGTTTACGTATGCGCGTTTAATGTATAACCGGCAGTATAAGCTAAGCTAAAATTATGTAATAATCTATTTCAGTTGCATTATTTCAGATTGCATTGTTCATTAATCTTCGAATTGGATCCGGCTTATTTTTTTTTGCAAACTGTTAGAGCAATTTTATAAAAGTAAGCTTGAACTTTCGATTATGTTAAATAGAATTTCCGACTCTGGAGCTGCCTAAGGATCTACAAAGCGAAAGCATGTTTCGATGTCCATTAAACAAAAAGTGGAATTGCTGCAAAAAATGGATAAAGGATGCTGCAAAAAATGGATAATAAAATTTCTACACATCAAATAGTTTTCTGGTTGCAATTTTCTAATTTCGACTATGCTAATGTATGCTTTACGCACGCGAGCATTGAAAGAAATGTTTAATAAAGTAAACAAATAAATAATAAGCTTTTTTTTTTTTTTTTTTTTTTTTTGTAAATTTTGATACCCTTTAGGTCCTAATTGCTCTTTATTTCATAAATTACGATTTCATATTTTTAATTATATAATTTCTGCATGCCATCTTACCATATTTAAACTGATGATCTATAATCCGGAATGCTGAAGTCCCAACGAGTCCGGATTAAAGACTTTTTTTTGACTGTATACAATAACATGCCAAAAATACATGCTAAGGACTATAACTAAAATTATTGATCCCTCAGAATTTTCAGTTTTTAGTTCTGCTCTAGAAAGACATTTGTTTTGTTTATTTGAAACACTCATGTCAAAAATTCTTATTTCTGGATTCTTATTTCTGTAAAATATTAGAACTAGTTCTTGATCATAAACTGTATGCAAAAAGTAAATATGATTACTATGCAAGTTCTTAATTTTTTCTGGTACTATTCCGTTTTGAGGACCGTAAAAAATCACCAAACTATGTTGTTGATGCCAGTGCTGCTAGAAATAATTGTGGTAACCCTAATGCAAGAAATGAAGTATAATAGTAAATAACTATCTAAGATTATTGTTTTAATTTAGATGAAAGGTTAATTTCATATAATACTTTTTTTAATATTATAATTTATATAAAAAAGGATAAACATAAACTAATGGAAGCATAAGAGTAAATAACTATTTCAGATCATTATAATTTATATAAAAAAAGGTTAAACATAAAAGAATGGATTTCAGCATGGCTATTTCACTACCGAGTTATCGCTAAAGCATAATTTCATCTCATTCGTTGTTCAAACATAATTTTCCATAATAATTGATGCCTTTTCTTTGAAAAAATTCTATTGCAGACTTTTCGTCATGGGTAATACCTAAATTGTTAAATCCATCGAATATCAAAAAAGGATTTAATAATTAGACTAGTATTTCAATGGCATTTAAAGGTATATAGAACTATCTAAACTTACGCAATTTGAAATCAGCATGTATGCTAGATTTGGCTCACTGTTAAATGGGAACATTTGCTAGATTTGGCACTTTTGCGCATAAATTTTCGCTGCAATTTTTTTAGTCCTCAAAATGGAATAGTACCTTTTTTTTTTAAAAAATTAAAACTTGGCAATAATTGTACGTCCACTTAAATAAAAGCCTGATGTGGACACCAGATGACTTCCTTGTACGAAATATTAAATTATATGCATTTTTTGCTGCATTTCATTTAAACTTATTTCTTCAAAATTCATTAGAGATAAATTTCTTATTCAGTTAATTGAATTCTCATTTTCAGCAAGGAAAAAGTACATAACACCTCAAAATATCTTCATTAAAAATTTGAAAAAAAAGTTAAAACAACTAAAAAAAAATTTTTTTTACAATTAAAATTAGAGTTTCTATGCAGGCAGGTTTTTCGTTTTTTGGGTGCACTGAAAATTTACTTTTGAATCCAAATTGCAAAAAGACCAAAGTAACCAAAGGTGCAAAAACTGACTTAATTCACTATTCTGTCATTTCAAATGTAAACAAATATGCTACTACGGTTAAAAAATTAGGCTTAGCTGCACTTAAGCAACTTTTAAATTGTTGATAATTCTACAACTATTGCATGCAGATTAATTAAAGGCATAAAAAAATTAACTGGAAGATATGAACAACATAATTCAATCATTTTTGAAGCACAAAGTGCACAATTTACCAACATATAAGAATAAAAAAAAACTGAGCTCACACAGCCGAGTAACAGAGTGAGCACCCCATCACAAACAGATATGGTAGAGTTATTTAACTAAATTAAATGACTGATGTCTGGATGGACTTTATTTTCTAACATCTTTAAAAGTACACTATAACTTTACCCTTTTGTTAACTCAGTCCTTGCCTATCAAAAGTTATTGTTTAACTGCCCTCACAAGCAATAAAATGAATTGAAAATCACATAATATTTATTTAAATAATTTAATTGCTTATATATAACATGCATGGATATAAAATTTAAGGCAATTTTCCTTTTTTTTTTTTTAATTTAAAATACACATGAAAAGAAATTAAAATAAACTCACCTGTTTCAGCTCTTTTTCTAATTCTAAAACAGTGGATGTAAATGTTGCTTCTTTACTAGCTGTTTCAAGCAACAAACTTTCTTCTTGTTCAATACCACTTGAAGCAGTAACTTTTTGATTAGTCTGATACTTTGCTAAAGCCTATTAAATTACAAAGGTGATTAATTTTTAATAAGCAGATTTTTATCCAAAAAAGTAAAATTTTTCATGTAAATACAGTTCCATGTTAAAATACAAACACAGCAATAGGTATATTATAACATTTTTTTTAAATGTAGTCGATAACCTAGTTGACTGCAGAGTCACACAATAATATTTATTTTACTGATAAAGTTTATTTTATACAGTTAACTGAAATTTTTTCTATATATGTAATAACAGTACTTTCTTAACAAACTTAACTGAAAATTTACATGTTACAAATGTTTACATTAATAAGATGAGGACCTAATTTGTCAATTTATCTTGTTTTCTGTTTAAAATGCTTATTTCATGCAACTTGTTTCCCTTGTTTGCAAAATAATATTTTTTTTTTTTTTTTTTTTCATTTCTTTAATTATAAAACATCCATACTTTCAAATTTCAAGTATGGCTACTAATCTAAACCTGAATTTTGCCCAAAAGTAAATATTTACCTATAATACTATTTTCTGGAATTCATATGTTATTGAAAATGCTCACTATCGTTCCTGCATATACTTCAGGGTAAGAAAGATGTATAACTTAATTACAAAAATATGAAGAGACAGCATCTACAGACTTTTAAATGTGATGTACACAAACATTTAATGACTTAATGAATAAAAGGCACTATTACAAGAGATTATTTTTCAGAAATCACACAAAAGTTAACTGAATATTGTTTGTTAATGATTAATATACACACAAACAAAAATATCCAAACACATTAAAAATAATTGATAATGGAATCTGAAAGCAATAATTCAGAATTTATAACACTTAAAAAAAAAAAGGAAAAAAATATCCCACCTCATAGTGTATGAAATGTAGAACTGCTATAATTGAATGATGAATTTCCTAAAACTTATGTCACAGCTTAATTTAAAAAGCATGTTACGTCATATAACGTAGTGTATGAAACGGGAAACTCGAACAGCCTGCCTGTAGCTGGCAGATTCAAGTTATCACGAATAAAATCAAATTACTAATATTCTATTCTTCAGCTGCTCAATTATTGTTGGATTTTACAATTACAAAATATATTCATTTTATTCCAGTAATTTGGCTATTTTCACAATTCGAAAATAAGAGAGAGAAATTTTAATGAAAGTTAATGACATGTTAGAATACAAGTTTCCGCTTCACACTCACACACACAAAAAAAAAAAAAAAAAAATTCCTATAAAAGGTAAAAGTTTACCCCTTGTACCTTTCTTTCTTTTTATTCTTTTTTGATGCCAAGATTGGCACCAAGAAAGCACAATTTCAAGATGGCCAAAATAAAAAGTCAAAGAATTGCACAAACTCTGTGTCCATATACACATCGATCTGTCTTCACTTAAAAAAAGATCCCAGAATTGCACAAACTAAGCTTTGTGCACTGCCTTAAATTTGTCCATGTACACATCAATCTATTTTCATTTAAAAAAAATCAAGAAGTTAAAATCATGGTAACCAGAAATGAGGTTTCATCGCCAAAATTTTTTTAAAAAATTATCGCTAATCAAAGGGGCACCCAATTCTATACTAGAGCCCTATAAAATTTTAAAGGTTTTCTTTCATAATAAAACATTGCATTTATTGGCTAAAGTGCAGAATCTCCCACTTATTTGTTTGGCGTTTTTTACAAGAGTAAGAATTGGATTTTAGTCAATTTTCTTTGACTTTTTAAGTGAAAATAAGTCGATGTGTACATGGATAAAGTCAAGGGAGTGCACAATGCCATTTTTGTGCAAGTCTGGGATGTTTTTTTAAGTGAAAATAGGTCGATGTGTACATGGATAATGAGTATGAGCAATTCTTAAAAACGCGCCAAGCAGTGGGCGATTCTGCACTTTCCCCGATTTATTTACAAACTAAAAGCTGCATCTTTTACTATTATTAATATTTATTATAATTGCACACAGTTCACGAAATACAAAAAAAATTACATTTAGAAAATGTATGGCTGGATTTCAAAGGAAATTAATAAACGTATCAATTAGAAGACATCAAAACTGAATTCACCTCACGCAACAACTCTAGCTCAGCTTTAGAAGAATCGTAACATGATTCCAATTCTTCACACCTTTGCTGAAGGGCTTCTTTTTCGTCCAACAAAACTAGCCCATACTGAGCGGAGAGATTTTTCTCATGAGTTGTTTGTTCAAGCTCACATCCTAATCTTTCTAATTCTTGCTTTAGTAAATCACGCTCTTGTCGCAAAGATTCTAAATTCTCAGTCATTGTCGATAAATTTATTAAAACTTTAAATCGGCATGTTGGTTACAAATTCTTCGATTGGACGGTACATCGCAAATTTTTTGTAAAACATTTAATTTGAACGTTCCACAGAACAGGTTCATTCCTAAAACTGTTTTAATTATATTATGTTATGGTGAAGCACTAACGAAGTGCTATCAACATAATTTATCTACCAGAAGTTCATTTCATTGTCACGAAAATAACACAAATTAACAGGTGAACGAGAATTAACGGACGACGACACCGACGAAAGTATTGCCATCTTTTCAATACTTAATGATTAAACTATACTAACAAAGCAAGTATAAATATTTTCTGCAGTAAGTAGTGTAACTAGTAAAATACCCCATTCTTCGTACAGAATTGAATAAAACACGTATTTCAGTGATTTAGAAAGTATATGAAATTTTGAATGCTTGTAAAACAAAGAGATTGGATAAAGTTCGGAGGTTTCTCCCCGTTTTGGCGTTAAGGCTGTTCTCCGAACCTTATCCTAAACATTTTACAGTTACTGAATCAAAAAAAAAAAAAAAAAAGTATTTTAAGATATTAACTAAAAATATTTCATAATTCCTTTGAAATATCTTTTAAATAATTATCGAAATTTGTTTCATACGCTTAATCGTAGCAGCAGATCCGGATACGTATTCGGAAAATATTATTATGTTTGCTGTTTGCTGTTTGCTTATCAAGCAAAGAGAAATTAGAAATAGCACATAATTGAATAAAATATAAAATATTGATAATATATGTAAAAATAAGTGTCTTGCACCTATAAATATTTATTTAATGCTCTATTTCCTGTTTTCATTTGCTTTGTTATGCTTACCTGTACTCATCGACGTTCAAACATGGCTTATTCTATAGCGTTTTAGAATCTATTTTATGTGCATTGATTGCAAGTAATCTATAAATTTTCTTATACTTTCTTCTTGCAATGTGTGCTTTCATATCGTAGTGCAATAAATAAATCAATGTGTGCTTTCATATCATATTCATAGTTATGTACAGTAATCTGAATTCAGAGGAGCTTTAAAGTTGCCTATAGAGTGGCAGTTTTACTCACGGTTGCTAGAAATATCTGGCTTAAACAGACCTAAGTTCTCAGACTAAACATATTTGCAGTTATATTGTTCTGGGACATTTGTAGCCTCAGTCTGATATTTAGTTTATAGCACATTTAATATGTTTAATATTTATTGTACGAATTAGAAATAATAATAACTTTTTAGAAATATGTATGCGATAAATTTGTGTGCTGTTAGACATGGTAATGCTCTCAAGTCTTAATTGTTCAAAATTCGACAAAATGCAATGGTGTATTTCCTTTTTTAACTGCAGTATAAATATAAAAATTTCATTAAACCTAATTGGATAAAATTGGATAAATGTTTATCCATGCTGAAGGGATAGTAAATATGTGTTTAAATACTGCAAAATATGTATGCTTCTAGCAGCTTTAATGAAACTTTTGTATTTTTACTGCAGTTAAAAAATTAAATACTATGCCTCTGCATTTTGTGGAATTTTGAACAATTAAGACTTGAGAACATTACCCTGCCGAACAGTGCACAAATGTAGTGCATACGTATTTCTAAAAATTTGTTATTATTTCTAATTTGTATAATAAACAATAAAAATATTAAATGTGCTATAAACTAAATATAGGACTGAGGCTACCAAATGTCCCAGAACAAATATACTGCAAATATGTTTAGTTTAGGAACTTGGTTCTGTTTAAGCCAGATGTCTCTAGCAACTGTGGAGTAAAACTGTCACTCTATAGGCAAATTTAAAGTCCCTCTTAATTCAGACTACTATACATAACTATGATATTAAAGCATACATTGCAAAGATGGATATCAAGTTACTGTTGAAGAGTGGAGGAAACTAGAAAATGTCTGACAGAAGTATAGTAATCCTGTTCATAACAACTTCTTTTACATTTCTTGGAAAGCCTGTCACTTGGTATCACAACTGAAATATTTTGAGTCGCTAAAGACAGGGAGAAAAAGTTTTTAACCATGTAAGTTGTACCATCATGATCTTAAATTTATTATGATTGTTCCTTTCACACATGGGTTATCTCGTGTAAGAAGCCAGTGTTTGCAAAACATTTACACTGCATAAGTATAGTAATTTAGGTATCATTAAGGGTATACGAGAAAATGTTAATAGATTACTTGGGATGCACATAAACAAATCCTAAAGAATGAACCATGTTTGAACATCGATGAGTACAAAGAAGTATAACAAAGTAAATGAAAACAGAAACTAAAGCATTGAATAAATATTTACAGGTACAGGACACTTATTTTCACGTAAATTATCAATAATTATACCTAGAATTATATTTTATTCTATATGTGCTATTTTCAATTTGCGTTGATAAGCAAACAGCAAATGCAAAGACATTTTTCGAATATATACCCCGATCTGCTACTACGCATAATCCCTTAGCAAGGGAAAAGTATCACGGCTGTCTTCCTAGAGGAAGTACGTCATCGGATGACAACCATAGCCTGATCTACCATAATAAGCTGTTTCTCCTTTTTTTGGCGTCAAGACTGTTCTCCGAAGAATATTCGATTTTTATAATTACTCAAGAATTAAAAAAATTTTTAGTGAAATTTCCTTTTTTTATTTTACGTTTCTTTTTTCCTTTCTCGGCCAGTGGTGAGGCGAATGTCAATTGAGTTGACTTTCGCCCCACTAGTGGCCCGAATGATTAAAGGTCTGCTGGATGCTGGTTCTTCGCGGGATTTAATCCCAGGCGAACGGTCTAGCTGAATGACTAGCTTCCGGGGTTTTCTCTCATTTGTAATGTGAATATAAATCAGTTTCTCTTATAACGTCCTCCACGAAGACATCCACCGGAGGAGAATAGGCCATATTAATATAACTAAACCTTATCTAATCATTCATATTTTGGGGACCTTCTCGCAAAAATAACGAGGCAGGCATAGCTGATCATTAAATATCCATAACGCTTGAAATTCTGTTTCTATTTCCTAGCTGGTTATTTAGGAGTCTAGGCTGAACACTGCTCTAGAGATCGATGGCGGAAAACCGGTCGAGATCGATGGCAGAAAAACCGGTAGGGATTCTCTATCTAGTCGACAGCAGATGGGAGAGGGAGTTTGACCCCTACAAATACTGTGGGCGGAAAATGAAGTGGAAATTCTGCGCGAAAGCGACGTTTATTGCATAGCAACCAGTCTGTCTCACCTCTACATTGGTCGAGGCTAAATTGCACTCAGGGGATATACCTACCCCTCTGTTGTCAAAATTGCTCTCTCGCACGTGCTTATCACTGAGGATGGAAGTAAAAAAAAAAAAAAAAAAAATAAAAAAAAAAAAAACTAGCCAACCAATTTGAATTAATGGTGACATTTTTTAAAAAATATCCGCAGCTATTAAGCGATAAAATTGGCAGCACATATATTTTAAACGCAGGAGGAACTGACCCTTTCAAAACTGCAGATATGTGGAGAAAAGTAAGCATAATTTTATATATGATCTTTTACAAAATGGAAATTTTCTAAAAGGTTACATGTTTGTAAATTATTTGTTAGTAGAAATTTTGTTATAAATATTATTTTTTGTCTTAAAAGGTTATGCAACTATGCCGTAAATCAAATAATTTAATTATAGCATAGCGTACGCATGTTTGATATTCCTACTGAACTTGAATTAATTGTTTTAAAATTTTTAGCAAATGATGATTATATCAATGATTTTATTTATTCATGAATTGTTCCTATCACGTAACAACAGGTAAATGATGTATTGTAGAAATCACAAAACATATCATATTGCATATAAATGCAACAACGCGCGCGCACACACACACACACACACACACACACACACACACACATCGACGGTCATACGAAATGACCACTGTTCTAGATATTATAAATTGCAATGCAAACAAATATTCACCTTCCTCCTGACACGCTCAATTTGCGTTTAGTTGTAAGCCATTTCAAAAACAGATGATTGCTAATGCAAACAAATGTTGACGTTCCCCCTGGCACGCTCAGTTTACGTTCAGCTGAAAATTCAGTTTAAAATACAATGTCGGAAATCGGTCCAAATTTTAAAATCTTTACGCTAAAGGATATTTAGCATAGGAGTTTGGGTAAACCTACCTGATGAGATGTACTACGCACAACTCATTAGTTGGTTTCGTCTTTTTTAATTTCTCAAAGTTTCCAAGTTTCTAGGTAATTCATATGTAAATATAGTTAAATGCATAATAAGCAACAATTGCATAAATTAAAAATATTTAAATGTTCTTAAATAGCATGATAATTTAATTAAGATAATGATAACTGCATGTATGGTATCAGTGTATATGGACTATTTGAATGCCATGGCAACTTCACCCCATTGGCTAGTACAGTTACGCAAGCAACCAATAAACTATTGGCGACAAACAGACACTTAAGCCGCATATAATAAAGATATATATATGCATTTATCTTAAAATTGAAAACAATTTTTTAAAAAACCAAATATAAACATGCCTAGTATTTTCCCGCATTAAGCTGAGGAAAAACATATCAGTAAAGACATAAAGTAAGGAATTTAGAACTAGTTTTTCGCAAAGGCCAAAAACTAAAATTCATAATTTATAAATTTCCAATAATCTTATAAATGCAACAAAGAAGTTAAAAATGTTAAAACCAAAACTTTTAAACAAGTAATACCCCAATTAAAAAAATTAATGAAATTTAATGGGAAAAAGAACATAACAGAAGAGGAATCCAATCAACTTCAAGGTGACTACATCAGGGAGGAGGAACATTGAAACTCTTCTACAAAAATCTTTGCTTTTGGAATTGCTGATAAATCAACAGCCAGAAGCCTATATCATACAAATATTAAAACAAACGAATTATTCCTTACCTTTAACTGAACAGTTATCGGTGTCTTTGATGTGGATGCTCCCGTAAAGCATGGCCCTAATTCACTGATACTGAGAAATTAAAATATCCATTAATAGTATTTAATACGCTTCCAAAAAGGTATGCGTGTCCCCACCATCTTCAATTTATCTCTAAAACGACAGTCAGAAAGTTAAACGGCAGCTACGCAGGAAAATTTCCCGACATGTCGATCTCTGTAATGATGGAGAGGATGACACGAGACTTACTCTTTGTCCAACAGATCGCAAAAAATGACCCGTTCTTCCGTTTTGACGGTGTACGGACTAGAGACCTTAGAGTATATATCCAAAGGACATG